TGCCTTCCACTGTCTCCAGGTCTCCGCCCACTCCCTCTACGTCTGTTAAGCCTATGACCCACAGTCTAGATACAGGCAGCCATATTATACATATGCATACCGTATACAGTGGTGTGGGCTGCCACTCCCTCCTGCCCCACCTGGGGCAATCCACATCAATCAGTCCTATCTCTCCCTCCCATTGACTAAGCAGAGAAGCCAACTCATTCTCCACAGTATGTGCCAGGATGCCATCCCAAGCAAGGCTGACTGACAGGAGAAAACTACATGAGATGGGGTGATCTCAAAGTTGCCTTGGGCACTGGCGTAGTCAGGATGTGAGTCAGCACGCCTTACCTGAGCAGGGGAAGGGTGTGGAACAGTGGGTCAGTGTCTCTGGGGACAGGTTCTAGTTACCTGTGAGCCGGAGAGCTTGACATAAGGCAGCTTGTGAGGAACACCTTCGCCAAGGGCAGGACTAGGGTAAAGTGCTGACTCACAGCTTTGAGTTTGAAGTTCATTGCTGCCTCACAAGGGAGTGTCTAAATCAACTGATAGACATCTGCTCACTACGTAGAGGAGGCACTAAGGAACAAACCAGGAAAGCTAATGAACAGGCCAGCATGTCTGGCTGGGGCAACAGCACTGTATCCAATGGGGACTACTGTTCTTTGAGAAACAGCAAGACTTCTCAGAGCCTAGTTTGCACACACAGTTAGTAGAGGTCAGTGTGTGTGTGTGTGTGTGTTTCCTTCTGTTATTTTGATATATGAATCACACAGGAGTAAAATCATGTTCCCACTCATGGAAGAGAGAGACAGAGAAAGAGACAGGGAGAGAGAACCATGACTTTAGACCTACCAGCCTTCCCATAGGCTCACAAGCTCAAAGTACCAGATTTTCCAGGTTTTCCTCCTTCCTTCCTTCCTTCCTTCCTTCCTTCCTTCCTTCCTTCCTTCCTTCCTTCCTTCCTTTTTTCCTTCCTCGACAGGCTAGGCCTGAACTCATGGTCACCTTCCTTCCACAGCCTCTGAGTGCTATAACTGCACACATGAGCCACTACTCCTGGCTGAAATTCATTTTTTATGTGAAATATTTTCATTCTTGAATATTCACAACCAATTCAGAACACTGGGGGACATTTTCTTTATATGTATCTATTATTTATATGTATATTTTAGACCAGGGGTTCTCAACCTGTGGGGCACAACCCCTTTGGGGGTCAAACGACCCTTTCATGGAGGTCGCTTAAGACCATCTGTATATCAGAAATTTGCATTATGATTCATAGCAGTAGAAATATTATAGTTATGAAGTAGCAATGAAAATAATTTTATGGTTAGGGGGTCACCACACCATAAGGATGTATTAAGGGGTCACAGCATAAGAAGGCTGAGAATGAACCACTGTTTTAGACCTTTGGAGGAAAAAGCCTGGGCTCAGGTATTTTTTCAAGAATGGCCTCCATGCTGAGGGCTGAAGTGGGTATCAGTGCCCTCCTACAGACCCGTGAGACATGCAGGGTGGGGCACGGGACCCACTATGGTTTTTTTTTTCATTCACATTAGCATTTCCAAAGGACCCACTATGTTATCTATTATTCACACTCCTGGGCACTCACACTCACCAGGGCCATCTGACTGAAGCCTGGTAGTCCCAGCCCCTATGAAGTGTTGCTTCTCTCTTTGTGGAGCCTTGAGTGAACTGAGTGAGCGTGTAGGATGTCTGTGATGGCGCTTCCAGGAGGTAGTTAGTACAGGAAGATAGGGCTCTCCAGATTGCTGAGTGTCCAGACCTCATGCCTGAAGAAAGGTGTGGCCCCAGCGAGGCAGGCTCTTCAAGAAAGCCCATGCAGAGGTTCCCAGGAGAGTCCGGGGACATACAAGGGCATCAGAGTGACCCTACAGGCAAAGGTCTGTTCCTTGGCGGCCTAGAAACAAGGCTTGGGAACTAAGCCCTGGCCACAAGTCACAGTTGGGCCAAGCTCTCTCCTCTCAGCCTTCCCGGATTGATGGGACCAGGTTCTGGAACACTACCAGGCCAAGGCCGGGTGAGGTGTAGAGGACATATAATAAAATGGCACCCTTCTCAGTCCCCTCTGGCTTTGGTGTAATTGCTTTTCATCTTGCTCTTAGCACCATATTTAAAGACATGTTGAGCCAGTTCCTCTTGGGGTCTAGGTGGGTGACAGTTTTCATAGGCAGAGCCTGTAAAAGCATAAAAGCCACCTTTGTGGCCACTAGCTGTATGGCCTTGGGGAATCGCTTACCTTTCTGACCACTTCCTAGAGGGCAAGGATTACATTGATACAAGATATGCAAGTGTTTCGCCGGGCGTTGGTGGCGCATGCCTTTAATCCCAGCACTTGGGAGGCAGAGGCAGGCGGATCTCTGTGAGTTCCAGACCAGCCTGGACTACCAAGCGAGTTCCAGGACAGCCTCCAAAGCCACAGAGAAACCCTGTCTCGAACCCCCCCCCCAAAAAAGATATGCAAGTGTTTCACTCACATCCCCAACCCCAAAATGACTCAGCAAAACTACTTAAGACAGGAAAATGATTACTTACTTGTAATCCCAGCATGCAAATGACTGAGGCAAGAGAATCTCAAGTTGGAAGCCAACCTGGGATACCTGATAAGTTCCAGGCTAGCCCGGAACACTTATCAAGGCTTTGTCTCAATAAATGAATAAGTGCCATGTGCCATGTGAGTTCAGACACACAACCATAATCCTAGCATTCAGGAGTCGGAGGCAGGAGGATCACCGCAAGTTTGAGACCACCTTCCTCTACACAGCAAGTTCCAGACCAGCCAAAGCAACAAAGTGAGACCTTGTTTCAAAACAAATACAGCAAACAAAAAAAATCTGGGCTTGGTGGCAAAACCCTGTAATGGCAGCTATTTGAGATGTCGAGGCAAGAGAATGGCCAAATTCAAGTCTTGTCTCAAAATAAAAAGAGGGCAGGTGACAAAGCGGAGTGGCAGAACACTTGCTTAGCACGAGTGAGGCCCTGGATTCAGTCCCTCCTGTTGGAAAATATTCCTAGTATAGGACAAAGAAACACCCAGACAGAGCAGAAGTAACCCCGCAAGGCAGGCCTCGAACTCCCAGAGATCCGCCTGCCTCTGCTTCCCGAGTGCTGGGACTAAAGGCGTGCGCCACCAACGCCCGGCTACAAGGATATTTCTTAATTTTTTTTTTATCTGTGAGGCGGTGGTGGCGCACACCTTTAGTCCCAGCACTTGGGAGGCAGAGGCAGGTGGATCTCTGGGAGTTCAAGGCCAGCCTGATCTACAGAGTAAATTCCAGGACAGCCAGATCTGTTACACAGAGAAACCCTGTCTCAAAAATCAAAACAAAACAAAAAAAGTATTTTTATCTCATGTGCATTGGTGTTTTGTCTGTATGTGTGAGAAGGTTGGATCCCCCTGGAACTGGAGCCACAGACAGTTGTGAGCTGCCTTGTGGGTGCTGGGAATTGAACCTAGGTCTGAAAAAGAAGTCATGTTCTCAACCACTGGGCCATCTCTCCAGTCCTCCAGAATATTCTTAGTTTATATGTGGGAACTAAGGCCCAGAAGCCGAGGGATCTATCCAGAATCAGAGATGAGACCAGAGTAGGGCACAGATATCCTGGCACATGGGACTCTTCCCACCACACACTAACTAGGGAATAATCCAAAACACAGAAGACCTCGGCTTAGCAGCCAGGGGCCACATCAATACTCAGAGTCCTAGTAACCAGAGGGTACCTGACACTGGGATAAACATTTGACAATGTGAGAAGTTGTCCCTCACCGTATCATTAGAAACAGGGCCTACCCAAGAGGATTCCCGGGCTGCCACTCCCTGGGGGTCCTGCCCAAACCACCTCCCAGAGTCTGCCTGGCTACTGTCAGTTGCTACAAGCTTTCAGCCTTGCTCAAAGTCCCTAAACCCCACTTGTCCCTATCAGTCCCTCTCAGAGCCACCAGCTGGGACCAAAACCTATACCTGGTAGCTAGGATCCAAAGCCACCAGGGCCGCAGGACCACTTTGCCTGTTAAAAATGGTTCAGGCTGGTCATGGTGGCACATGTCTTTCGTCCCAGTTCTCAGAAGACAGAAGCAAAAGCGTGCAGATCTCTGTGAATTTGAGGCCAGTCTGGTCTACATAGAGAGTTCTAGCCCAGTCAGAACTGTACAGTGAGATCCTGTCTCAAAAGCAAAACAAACAGCCAGAATATATTTGTTCCTGCCAGACAAAAGCAGCAAGTTCATCCCACTGGGCAGCAGCACTGCTGGATGCAAACACAGATTTGGAGAGGGTCGAGCAAATGGGAAGTGAGTTGCAAGCAGAGCTCAGCTGGTAGAGTGTTTGCCTAGTGTGCATGAGGCCCTGGGTTCAATGCTAGTAGTAGCGCCTAAACAGGACATAGTAGGTCTGTACTCCCAGCACTTGGCTAGCACGAGCAAGGCCTGGGCTTAATTCCCAGTGTGAAGACAGAAAAGGGAGGCCAGTGCACTAACACCATGCTCTCAGGCTTCAGGCCTCTAGACAAGGGGCCACTGTGCGTCTGTGCTTTAGGACTCCTATTCTGTGGACTCTGTTATAACAGGCCCGGCACACACCCAGGTGGGTGCTGTTGCTACCAACCCTGTAGACCAGGAAACTGCAGCTTGACTGACTCTGTCCCGGCTGTGGAGGGAGGGCGGGGATGCTGGCATAGCCAAAGTAGAGTTAGGGAAGGTTGGAAGGGGTTACTGATGGCTCTGTGGTCTCAGGTCATGTAGCAGAGACACTGATGGCTTTGCAAATGTCTCATTTAATGTGTGACCAAAAAACTGCTGGGTGCCTGACCTGTGTTAAACACTACTGTTGTCACTGCTTTGATGTCTAAACAGGGGAGATGATGGTCATCACTGGCAGGTGACCAAATTGCTTCCAGAACACCGTTGGCATAGGCACTGTGTGTGTCCAGTGCCATGGTGAGGCTGAGTCATGTGGTGAGATGGGAATCTGCTCATGTATCAGGGTCCCTTGATGTGCTGGCGTTTCCATAGCAAGACAGCGGCTTCCGATGGAAGAATAGATGATGACCCTGTGTGGGTGTATGCTGACTCAGACTTCTCATCAGGGATCCCAGACTGGATCTCAAATTGCCGCCTGCCTTCTGTTCTTGCTCGTCCAGCACTTTGTGGAGCTCAAGTCTAAAGTCCTGAATGAGAACTGATAATGAATATCTGACCCCAGTAAGGTACACAGCTTTGATTACGGTGCTTGAAAAATGACCCTGATAGATGTGTGCTTCCTTGTGTTTCTTCTGGGTTTGGGGTTCCTCCTGGCTATTTATAAAAGCATGGAAGGACTGGGCATATAGCTAGGTTAGTAGAGTTCTTGTCTATAGCTTGTACAGAGCCTGAGTTCAAGCCAGAGCATTACAGTCTAAACTCAGCCTGATGGGAAGGGGGAGGCAAAAAAAGATTAGAAGTTCAATGGCATCCTTAGCTACATAGTGAGCTTGAAGCCAGACTGGAGTACAGGAGACCCCCCCCCAAAATATATATATATCAATACATCAAGAAAGACCGGGTGGTGCAGTCGGGAGGCAGAGGCAGGCAGATATCTGTGAGTTCGAGGCCAGCCTGGTCTACAGAGTGAGTTCCAGGACAGCCAAGACTACACAGAGAATCCCTGTCTTAAAAAAAAGAAAATCAAGAAGGAAAGTTGGATGTGTTGACTGCCCCAAGCCTTCAAGTCTAGCACTCAGGAGGTAGAGAATCACTCCAAGTTTGAGGCCAGGCTGGAACATACAGTGAGTTCCAGACTAGCCTGAACTGTTTAACTAACCCTGCCTGGAAAGGGGAGGAGGTAGGGCTGTGGGTGGGGCTGCCCAGTGGCAGCAAGAGACTTATAGCATTCACAGAGCCCTGAGTCCCATCCCTAGCACCGCAAAAGGAGGGTGGGGACAAGAAGACTGCTGGAGTGCTTGTTATGCTAAGTATGAGCAGCTGAGTTCCGAGAGCCAGCACACATGTAAGACACAGGTGTAACTGTAAGAGTCTATGACCCCAGCCCTGGGGACCAGAGACAGGAGAGTCATGGAGTACAACAGCAGGCCACCGGCAGGAAAAAGACAGACAGACAGACAGACAGACAGACAGACACGCACGCACGCACGCACTCACTCACAAAACAAACAGAATGTTAGATGACACAAAGAGGAGTAGAGATGTACCTCCTCGGTTTGTAAAGTGCTTGCTTGTCTAAATGCACAAGGCCAAGGCTGACTTCCAGATCCCCATAAACTAGACACGGTGGGGTATGTAATCCCAGCAGTGGCCCGGAAAGCAGAGGGAGGAGGATCAGGAGTTCAAGGTCACCTTTTAATACGTAGTAAATTTGAGAGAAGTGGGGGCTACAGGAAACCTTGTCTCAAAAAATTAAAACCAAACCACACAAATAAAACCACACTACAGATCTGGCGGGTTTGGTGATCCAAGACTGCAATCTTAGCATTTGGATGGTTGAAACGAAAGGACTAAGAGGTGAAGGCCATTCTGGACTATCCAGCAAGACCCTGCCTGGAAACTAAAACAATACCATGGAGCCCCTGCTGGTTTCTCTGTATCTAGCCATCATAATTCCCACAGTCTACAGTTCCTCCAACTGACCTCAGCCTGCTTTCCAGCAACCTGGGCGATTCCAGGACCTACCCAATCCCTTCCAAACCACAGACTGTTGACTACCCTATCTGGCTTGCTCTTTTGTCCTGAGTTCCATCAGCCAATGTGGAGTTCCTGTATCATCTTGAGACAGGATAAAAAGACAGAAGAAATAGAGGGGACATGGGAAGGGATAGGAGCCCCTTATCACAGTTTTCCCTGGCCCCATTATTTAGGGAATACTTCATTAGTTTCTGTTATTAAAACTACAGAGATAAACCTCAGCTATTTAATACACTGCATCACCCCTGCACAAATTCAGAGCCCAGAGTCTTAACTGAAGTCTCTTAGTAGCTGAGAGTGGAGGATCCCAGCACGATGGGCTTTTAAGGTTGCTTTTAAGGCTTCCCACACAGGGACAACATTCCTTTTGCACAGAGTTATTTCTGAATAACTTGATCATGTGAGGCCTCCAGGTAGCCTTAGTTCTGTCTCAGATATGCGCTGCTATTCCAACAAACAAACGCAAACATTTGTTTACCATAACATTTTAGCTTCCCCTGTAAATAACCCTTGTTTCCCAGGGACTTGCCTTACCAGCTACAATTCTACCCAGTCCCCCCTCAGGAGCTACCCCCACGATCCCACTCACTGAATAAGAACAGGTTCCTTAGCAACTGCTTGAGCTGGAACTTCTGAAGCTGCCAAAATCTTACATACCGCTATTGTGAAGATACTGAAGGGTGACTCTCCTTTGAGAAGCCTACAGACCCCTGGACATGTCACGTTCTTTCCCTGACAACCCCTCTGCGCTTTGTTATGTTAAAAATCATTTTGCCATAAACTCTGTTTCATACTGTTTTGTCCTGAAATCCATTCCTGAAGCAAAGTCAAGGATCTGGCTTTACCTAGCGGAGGTCTCTGAAAAGGGAGGGAACTGCTCAGGTTGCTGGGGGTGGCAGTGTGGGCTGCCTTTTGCCCTCTGATGACCTGACTGCTGGCTATAAAACACTGGCTTTGGTGGGGTCCTGGAAATGTTGATTCACCCTTTAGAACTTGAGAAGCTAAGTGACTGGTCTAAGGATCGCAACACATGGGATTTATGCCTCAGCCCCCCAAACCACGCAGCTGCCTCTCCCGGCTTGAGATGGGGGTCTCTTCTCTGGCCTGGTCACTGCTGTTTGAGGTTGGGCACCTGAGCCTCTCCCTCTTCCCCAGCGTGGATAGTATTTGCCCAGGGCACGCTCTTCTGCCTGCTCCATTAACTACGGGCCACTGTCACCTCAGGACAGGGGAGGTCAGGTGGCCCTGAACTTCCTGTGCAGAGGCTGGCTACAACACAAACCAGCAGCAGCTGTGACTCATGGGCAAGCTGAGTGCCACCTGTCTGACTGGAGAAGAGCGGTGGAAACGAGTCAGAGCTAGTTGTGAGCTGGCAAAGCAGCTGGTCCACCCACTCTCCCTGCCCTAGCAGGCCTCAGCAGTGGCCCTTGTTTTCCCCACTAGAACAAAGCATTTCCAGAAACAAGACCGTAACCTGCAGATTTGTCCACCAGCCAGAGCCAACTCCTTTCATCAAGACTCAGGCCTTCACCAGGACTGATGGCACACCTGTAATCCCAGCAACTGAGAGGTAAAGGCAGGGGTATCATGAGTTCAGTGTCAACCTACGTATTAAGTTTGAAGCCAGCTGACGTTATATGAGACCCTATCTCAGGGGGGGAAAAAAGGAGCTAGAAAAATGGTTGAATGATTAAGAATATATACTACGCCGGGCGGTGGTGGCGCACGCCTTTAATCCCAGCACTCGGGAGGCAGAGGCAGGCGAATCTCTGTGAGTTCCAGGCCAGCCTAGTCTACAAAGCAAGTTCCAGAACAGCCAGGGCTGTTATACAGAGAAACTCTGTTTCAAAAAACAAAACAAAAGAGTTCAGTTCCCAGCACCCAAACCAGCTGACTCACAAAGACTTATAAGTCCAGTTCTGGGAAACCTAACGGCTTTAACCTCCAGAGACACCTGCAACCACATCATACACATACACACAGAATTTGATTTTTTTCCAAAAAATAATATGGACAACAACAAAAACTGTGGCCAGTGGCATGGCTTAGCCAGTGGGAGAACCTGCTAGGCAAGCTTGGCCAATGGAATTTGATCCCCAGAACCTCCAGAAAAGAACTGACTCCATACAGATGTCCTCTGACTTCCACAAGCACTGTGACATGTGCATGTCCCTACTCTTTTACACGTCACACATATACACACATCATGCATGCACATACATGCTTGCACACTCACAAATAATAAAGTGAACATTAAAAAAGAAAACCATCGATTTATCAGCTGCAGGGGCTTACACCTCTAATACTAGCACTTGGGAAGTAGAGGCAGGAGGATTAGGAGTTCAAGGCCAATTTTGTTTATTCAGTCAGTTTGAGGCAAACTTTGGGCTGCTGAGACCCTGTCTCAAAAACAGGGCTTTAAAGATGCCATGAACCCTGAAGACCTGAGTTCAATTCCTAGGACCCTTGTGGTAGGAAGGGACTACTACTGCAAGTTGTCCTCTGACCTCCGTAAATGTGCCATGGCATAGCCATACCTACACACCTACATAACCACACACACACACACACACACACACACACACACACACACACACACACACTTTAAAAAAAACACCCTGAGGCCGGGCGGTGGTGGCGCACGTCTTTAATCCCAGCACACAGGAGGCAGAGGCAGGCGGATCTCTGTGAGTTCTAGACCAGCCTGGTCTACAGAGTGAGTTCCAAGAGAGTCGGGGCTGTCACACAGAGAAACCTTGTCTCAAACCAAATAGCAACAATAAAAAGATGTGAGCTCTCAGCTTCTGTTTGAGCTCCATAGCAGCATGTCTGCCGCCACACTGCCTGCTGTGGTGGTCAGCCCCTAGCCCTCTGAAACTGTCAGTTCCCAATAAACTCTCTCTTCTAGAAGTTGCCTTGGTCATGGTGTCTTATCACAGCAATAGAAAAGTAACCAAGACAGACCTCTAGTGAACTTAGGGGCACCAGCAGGACCACAGAGTGCAACAGCAGAGCTCAGGCAGGAAAGAGCAGCCACATAGACAACCAAACACTCACAGACAGGCAAAGTAAGTGAATGAATGCAATGAAAACGGGAGTAGATGTAGCTCAACTGGAAAAGTGCTTGCTTAGCATACACAAGACCCTGAATTTGACTTTGTGAGCACCCTGAAGCCTGGCATGGTGGTGCATGGAATCCCAGCTGTGACCTAGAAGGCGGAGGCAGGAGGATCAAGAGTTCAAGGTTATCTTTGAATGTGTAGTAAGTTGGAGGTTAGCATGGGCTGTGAGAGACCTTGTCTTAAAGCAAATAAATAAAAAACAACAGAAAACCACTACCCATCTGACCAGTTTGGTGCACTCACTAGGACTGTAATCTTAGCACTTGGATTCTGGGCTATACAGCAAGACTAAAGCAATGCCATGAAACCCACTACTGGTTTTATGATATTCTCTGTTGTAAATACAACAAAGTTTTTGCTTGATCTTATGGAGAATAGGACACAGTGGAAATTCAGGTTTTAGTTGTTTTTTTGTTTTTTGTTTTTTTGTTGTTGTTTGATTTTTTTGGTTGTTGTTGTTGTGGGGATGGAACCCAGGGCAGGGAACACGCTCAAGTGCTCTGAAACTGAGCCCCAGCCCAGGTTAGTGTGACAACTGTGTACACAATTGCTTAGACACAAGAGTTATCTAACTTGTTTTGGTTTATGTCAGGGTCTCATGTGGTCCAGACTAGTGTCCAACTCACTATGTAGCTAGAATGACCTAGAATTCCCGATCCTTCTGCCTGTTCATCTCAAGTGCTGGGGTGCACCACTACTCCCCCAGACACAAGAACTATCTCAGGATAAAGAAAGGAGACAGCCTGACTCACAGCTTAAGTCTAGTCACCATCCTCAATAAGCCAACTAAAAGTGGAAATCACCAGTCGGGCATTGGTGACACACGCCTTTAATCTCAGCACTCAGGAGGCAGAGGCAGGCGAATCTCTGTGAGTTCGAGGCCAGCCTGGTCTACAAAGCGAGTTCCAGGACAGCCTCCAAAACAATACGGAGAAACCCTGTCTTGAAAAACCAAAAAAAAAAAAAAAGTGGAGATCACAGGGGCTAGAGAGATGGTCCATCATCTGAGAGCACTTGTTGCTCTTGCAGAGGACTTAGGTTTGATTCCCAGTGACATGGTAGCTTAGCTCCCAGTCATTTGTAAACCCAGTTCCAGGGGATCTGATGCCTTCTTCTGACCTCCATGGGCACCAGGCATGTATATGGTGTACACACATACATACATGCAAGCAAAATACTCATATACATAAAATAAATTTTAGAAATTTTTAGAGTTAAGTGGAAAGCAGAAAAGGGACGATTCATTCAACGTGGCTACATTGGGAAGAGGGACAAAGAGATCCAGCGAATTCTCTAAGTCCAGCTTCCGGGCTCCTGAAGTGGGATCAAAGTCAAGGCTATGCACATCTAGGCAGAGCAGGTCAAGGTGTGGTCCGCTCACCACCAACGCATCATTATTGTCTTGGGCTTTAGCCTCATCCTGTGAGACTGCCTGACAAGTTATTAGATCTGTGTAAAATCCCTTTACATGTTTTCCACCCAGCTGGTGCATGTCCTTCTCCCAGCATGAGATTCCTAGGGAAATTCCCATTTCTTTGGAATCCATTGTTTCAGTAGTCTGAAGTTATTATTACCAGCCTAGTTACAGTGTCAGAATGGAAGCCAGGGGCTTGGGGGTATGCTGAGAGTCAGAGGCCTTGGGTTCAGTCAGGTAGACAGACAGATGTGTGTGCATTTGCACACGTCACACACACACACACACACACACACACACACACACACACACACAAACTGTCCAGTAACTGGGCTGCCACCCCACCAGCCTCAGTACTGTCTCTAACGGATGGAGCTGCTCCAGAAAGAGGACGCCCACTTCTGTTTAAAGCAAAGGCTAATGCAGGAGAATGTTAGCACAGCAGTAACTTTGAAGTTGTGGCTTTACCTTTATTAGACACGGGAAGAAGCCAAGGAAAGAGCCTTAATGGAAACTGAGATGATTAATGTGGCCCGAAAGAGGCAGGAACCCAAGTAGATTCAGATACAAAAGCCAAGCTAATGGCCTGAGTGAAAACGCTAAGGGCAGCGGGGCCGGCACTAGCTTCTCGAAATTTTCCAGAGTGGCTCAGCGACTCAGTAGACTCTGCATTGTGTCAGCCAGCATCAGTTGTAAATAGCTCAAACAGCTGACACCAAAAGCTTCCAGCAAACAGGGCTTTGAAAAGCACATCAATGGATTGATCTGCTAATTACAAGGGCTGAGGGCCCAGCCTGTCTGGTGGCAGAGAGTCAGCTAGGTTGCTAGGGTGAGGGCAGAGAACAATGCTGATTTTGAGTCCAAAGGAATTTCAGGAACCAGACAGGGCAATTCAAACATGGCGAAGAGAGGCAGCGCTATAGGGGTTTCAGTCCCTTCCTTGGGACCTGAGGCCCCAGAGCAGACCAGCTTGAGAAGTCATGCCAGTGAGCAGATGGCAAGCTTGCACTCCTGTCTTGTTCTAGAACAGTGGTTCTCAACCTTCCTAATGCTGCAACCCTTTAAATGGTTCCTCATATTGTGGTGACCCCCCAACCATAAAATTATTTTCGTTGCTATTTCATAACTGTAATTTTGCTACCGTTATGATTCCTAAATATCTGATAGGCAGAACATCTGACATGTAACCCCCAAAGGGGTTGAGATGCACAGGTTGAGAGCGCTATTCCTGTTCTAGAAGCCACCTAAGAAGAATATTTGAGCCGGGCAGTGGTGGCACACACCTTTAATCCCAGCACTCGGGAGGCAGAGGCAGGCGGATCGCTGTGAGTTCGAGGCCGGGCTGAACCGACCTCACTTTGGAGGCTGTCCTGGAACTCACTTTGTAGACCAGGCTGGCCTTGAACTCACAGAGATCCGCCTGCCTCTGCCTCCCGAGTGCTGGGATTAAAGGCGTGCACCACCACCGCCCGGCAGCTATTACTTTTTGATAAAAGATCTTGCAGGCTTTATATTTCTTATTTTTTTATTTTATTTTATTGCATGTGATACAAAGAACTCTAGTGACCAAGGGATTTCAGACACTTCTAGGTGCGGGGTAGGAAAAGAAAGGGGGAGGTCCTGGGACAAGGCCCTGCAGCTGGCAGCTGCAAGACTGGGTGTCACTTGGCGTGTGTCCCTAGGAACATTAACCACAACAGACACACAGAAATTTGAAGCCTTGGGCCTACGAAGTGACTAAAGTAGGATAAAAGCCTGCTGCCCCTGCCTTCATTTTATACCTGTTTTTCTCTTAGAGCTCAGCCAGTGTGGATGTTCTAACCAGTCTCGGATTATCTAACAGCAGTGAGGCACCCCTGAGTTCCCTTCCAGACTGAAGACACAAGAGATACAAGAAAGGGAGGCACATGACAGTTCCAGATGTCCAGAGAAGCAGTGGATAATGCTCTAAGACCTCAGTCATCTTGTGATCCAAGACCAGCACAGTCGTGCAAACAGACCAACCCATGCACTCCCTCCCTGCCCTAAGCTTTCAAGTTTTAAACTGGCATACACTAATTCCAATAGTTTTGTTGTAATAAAAGCAGTCCCCCCATTACCCTTTCTTGTCCCCTTCCCACTTCTGCTGATCACTGGCTCTTCTCAACTCAGTCCCTTCTTTCATGTGTCCCATCCCCCCAGTCTAATGACATTAGAGTTGCTTACAGGAATATGGACAACTTCCCAGTGGCTACACCTCTGGATAAAAAGAAAGCTTTTTAACAATCGTTTACTGTCTACGACCTTCAGGGAGGCGCAGGACCTTGTGAACTCTTCATATTTTGAAATATACATGTAAAAGATCAATCCTATATATTAAAGGTTGATAGTCTTAATTAAATGTCTAGCACTTGGGAGGCAGAGGCAGGTGGATCTCTGTGACTTCCAGGACAGCCTGGTCTATAGAGTGAGTTCCAGAACAGCCTCCAAAACAATACAGAGAAACTCTGTCTGGAAAAACCAAAAAAAAAAAAATTGTGTCCGTGTGTCATTGATCGTGTTAGCCATGGCATGCCTGTGGAGGTCAGAGGACACCCTGTAGGAATCAATGCTCTCCTTCCACCACGTAGATCCAAAGATTGAACTCAGGCTGCCAAGCCCAGTGGGAACCTTACCCTATCCACCGAGTCATCCTGCTGGCCCATGTTACTATTTGAATCACAAAATCTTGCATTCTCCGCCTTCACTGATCTACACCCATCCTTAAGAAGAACGAACACATCTTTGGGTGACCTACATGCTCAGTCTGAGACCCTATGTCCTGTAGATTTTACCTGCCTCAGCACATCACTGGCTGAGCTCCGGATGTTTTGTGAGCCCATCACTGAATTACAGGTTGGCTCTAGCACCCCCACCTTTGAGCTCTGGGGATGGGGCAGACATGGATGAGTTCTGACACCCAAGGAGTTCCCAGTCTGAAAATCACGGGTATATGATCACAAACATAATTAGGAAGGAGTTACTGTGGGGGTAAGGTCACCAACTGCATCATGAGTTCAAGAGCAGCCTTGGCCATGTAAGCTAAATGAGGCCGTTTCCAGAAGCCCTATAGAAATGATAAAGGTTGAATTAAGGGGGACAGTTTGGATGGATGTGCACCGAGAGTGAATAATAAGGTAGAAGGGGGTAGATACCAGCGTCATTTGTAGACATGGTAACCCCACAAATGCAGTTAGCTACAGGAATGCATGGATTTTTTTTACATTTTTTAATTTTAATGTTTACATTCCAATTCGTTATCCCTCCATCCTCTCCTCCTGCTCCCCCACTTCCACCCCCACCTCCCATCTTCTCCTCTGAGAAGGTAAGGCCTCCCCTAGGAAGTCTACTAAGTCTGTCCCATCATTTCATTGGGGCAGAACCAAGGCACCTCTCCCCCTCCCCGTGCCTAGGCTGACTAGGATATCTCTCCATACAGAATGGGCTTCACTATGTCAGCTTGTGCACTAGTGTTAGATCTGAATGCATGGATCTTGACCTTCACACACAAATACCTCAAAAGTGAACTTTCATATGGCCAAGGCACAGAGGCACATGAGGAACCAAAGTAATAAAGCACCTTAAACCAAGCATGGGCTCTACAACACCCTGCTTTCAAATCACAGCAATGTCTTGTGGGAAGACACAGAAAGTCCCTGAGCAGGAGACACCTATGAGAAAGCACTTTGGTTTTAAAGTCTACCTATAGAGTCAGCCTGCCTTGGAGGAAGTAAAAATTCAAGCTGCCAAATTTGGTCTGCAGCGTCCATCTTCTGAAGGCTTACTTTAAAAGCCCCACTCACAAAACTTGGATCAAGTGCTGTTAAAATTTCTTTTACAGCTGGGTGTGGTAGCTTCTGCCTTTATCCCAGCACTCTGAAAGGTCTGGGCAGGTAGATTTCTTCAGGTTCGAGGCCAGCCTGGTCTAGAGTTCAGGCCAGCCTGGGCTCCACAGCAAGACCGTTTCAACAAAACAAAACAAAAATTCCTTTTACAGTTAGGGAGATAGCACAGTACAGCCCCTGAATTTAGAGGGGGAACTTTCATTGATTAAAGGTGGGGTCCACTTTTGATTTTAAAATTATATATAAGTAAAAAGACACCCCCCCCATTTTCTTTTTTCGAGATAGGGTTTCTCTGTGTAGCTTTATAGACCAGGCTGGCCTCGAACTCACAGAGATCTGCTACCTCTGCCTTCCGGGTGCTGGGAATAAACGCGTGCGCCATCACCGCCCGGCTAAGCACCCCCATTTTTAATAGAGCGTAAGTCCAATGAGGCAACTGTACAATACTGCTGAAAAGCTAAGTTTCCTAAGTGGGTTTTAACTGGCATGTTTGTTCTAGAATTTGAGGACAAGAAACAGCTACAGCAGAAATTCTTTTCTTCCTTACGCCTCTGCCTCCAACACAGAGCTCTGGCCACCACCTCCCCCTGCTTTCTCAAACAGCTGTTTGTCATTTATGGGAAAGCTGCAACACTAAACCCCCAGTAGATCTTTTCTGGCTGTGTTTGTACATCTCCTAGCAACAGAGCGAGCCGCACAGCTTGTTTTCCTATGTGACAGGCTCTGAAAGAGAGGCAAGGAGCCAGGACAAAAGGCATGAATTTACCAGGCCTGGGCTCTCCTTCCTGGAAGGACGACCTCGTTTAGATCCTGAGGACACAGACAGAAACTGCTCCTTAAATACCGCCCCCCCCAACGCCCTCAACAACGGGTTGCTCGTAAGCTTTCACTGGCGTCCCCTGCTGCATCCACCCGGGGGTTTGCCACACGGCTCACACGGAGGAGACGCCCACTTTGCCCTTGTCCACTGCAGTCATTTGAATTAGGCATGCTGGCTGAACAAACAATAAGGTCTCCCTTTTGACCTACCCACACTGTACTGTTAAACCCTCTGGGTGTCCTTGCCGATTCCTTTTGCCACTAAGTTCATCGTTCTCTGTCCTTGTATCCCTTGTCAGTTTTAGATCAAAATTTTCAGTGTAAAATTCACCTTGCTCTGCCTGTCACTGCCAAAGTCTCGTCTCTGCCCCACAGTGTCTTCAGGGGCTTCACAGAATTCATGTAGCTTTCGTTTTGGCTAACACTAACCCTGCCTCCCCAGTGATGGAATTAAAGTGTGCGCCACCACAGACCATCTCATTCTGCCTTCTACTTGGCCGCTTCTGCCAGGATTTGAGTCTGCATGGTCTGTCTGGCACTGCTGGACTGTGTGCATTCTATGGGTCTAGGATAGGGCTCGAGGAAGTGCATTTCTACTGGGCATGTGTATAATGCCAGCACTGAGGCAGATGGAGAGTTCAAGGCAGCCTGGTGATAAAATCTCATATACTGTAAAGGGAAAAAATCTGTGCCTCCAGTAGCGTTCTCTCCTACCTCTTTCGTATTCAATGATCCTTATGGATGGGGCTTAGTGGTAGTGTTTGCATACCAGTGAAGCCCTGCTTTCAGGCCCCAGCAATCTGGCATAAGTGTGTACACATGTATTACGCATTTTGCTCACTCTTTTCTTGGATTTTGCTCTGTTTATTCCTTCCATCACCATTTCAAACAGTGCTTGGAGACAAAACAAGCAAAGGGCAAGGGACCAATATAAAAAAGAAAAGATTTAGCTGTGTGTATCTGAATCTATGTAGGTGCATATGCCCAGCCAGGCCAGGACATCAGATGTCCTGGTCACAGGCGGTTGTGACACACAAGACCCCAGGAAGGACAGCAAGTGCCCTTAACAGTGAGTCACCTATGTCTTCAGTACTCAGACTCCAAAGTCTTTATATTGTTCAGTATCTTCCCTGGTGACAGTGTGCATGTAAACATGACTTTATGAAATGCTTTGACAACAGTTTAAATGTATGGGATTTCCTTTCCCAAGCATACAGCACATCTTCCTCATTGCAAGGCTAGAAATAGTAGAGAGGTTAAAGATCAGTATTAGAATGCAAATGCTTCCCTGGCATCGATGAGTCCTGGGTTTGAATCCCAACACTGCTACAACAGCATAGGCAGACAAGCTGCACTCAGAAGACATTCAAATGCATTTACCCCAGAGGGACATTTTATCAGCTAAAAATAGGAACTTTGTTTCAGTACAGAATGGTGCTTTTCCAGTTTTTGTTTGTTTGTTTTTCAGGTTTAAGCAACAGTTGGAATCACAACATGACTTTATAGGGGGCCTACCTGATCTAAGAGTGAACTTGTTTTCTGGCCACCACTGACCATTTTCTACCCATCACCTCCATGCTCCAAACACCTTCCCCTACTATTAGGTCCATGTTACTGTATCAATTTCCTCATCTTGTTTCCTACCCCCCAATAGCAACACAAAAATTTATATACTAACAAAAACTCAAACCCCACAAAACAAAAACCATGTTATTAGTTAGGGAACATACTCAGTTGGGATTTCCCCCATCATTTCTTATGTACAAGTGAACTTTTGACAAAAATTTACATACTGTGTGCACCCAAGGGTACTTCCTTCATGAAACACATGCCAACCTCCAGCACTTATCTCCTGGCTTTGCAAAAGGAGCAGGTATTATACTGACGAAGATTACCCAGGAGGCTGTTTCCCTTATGCAGTTCAGAAGTGTCCTACTCCGGCCCCTACCTGCTTCAGCCCTACGATGCTTCACCACAGCAGATAGCCCCATATGCAACTTCATTTCTGAGTTCCCAGGAAAGACCAACATTGCTGGGCACTGAAACATTTCCTGCTTCCTAAACTGAGAAAACTTATTTTTTTACGGTTTGCATAAAAATTTTCAGTTTTGTCCTAGGTTAACAATCTAAGCTAAGCAGTCACCATGCTGTGTACAAATGTATATATACTCCCTGTCACTCAGGAGGGTGAACCCCAGAGTTGAAGGATGACCTGGGAAAAGCAGCAAGGTTCTATAAGAGACAAAACCATGCATACAGTCATAAATAACACAAAGTAGCCATAGCATGCATACTCTCCATGTTGCAGATTAAAAATCACCCAACGTGCACTCGGGAGGCAGAGGCAGGCGGATCTTTGTGAGTTCGAGAGAAACCTGGTCTACAGAGCGAGTTCCAGGACAGCCTCCAAAGTCACACAGAAACCCTGTCTTGAAAAACAAAACGAAACAATACAATCACCCAAAGCCAGAGGCCAAATGTGTCAGTTTTACTAAGTCTAAACTATAATTTTACTTTCAGTAGTCAGGCATGCTAGCTAAGCAAATCACTTTACAATGAAAACCCACCTGCCTCCTCCCAATTCTAAAGAGCTTACAGAACACAGTAACCCCACTTGCCACGTCCAGTGGTATGCAGAGCCAGTGGCTGGCAGCCTGACACCCACAGAAACTGTTCAAACTGTCTTCCTTCCC